AGCGGCGGGGCCCGGTCCGGGACAACTGTGTTGTCTGCGGGAGGACGGTGAGCGGTGTGGCCGGGCGGCAGGCAACGCCAGCTTCAGCAAGAGGATCCAGAAGAGCATTTCTCAGAAGAAGGTGAAGATCGAGCTGGATAAGAGCGTAAGTGACTGCGGGACCACCCTGCCCTGCCAGCGCCGGTGGAGCTCCAGGCACTGGGATGTTGGCGAGTTTAAGGGTTCCCCAGACCTAGCGGCAGTGCGGGTTCATTCGGGGGTGTCTAGCAGGAACAAAGTCGCTGCAACTCCGATCGCCATGCCCCCCTTCCCACACACATGTACACAAACACACACGCTGTCCTCCCTTCCTCTCCCCCCAGCCTCTGCTGCCTGTGTCTCTCCCGCGCACCGTCTTCCCTCTTCCTCCTTCGCTGCGATCGGGAAACGAAACAAAGGGGAACGCCGCACGGAGGGCCCAGGGTAGTTTTCTTGCAGCCAGGCAGCCCCTTCTGGAATGGAGGCGCCTTTGTTTTGCTGCCCAAGCTGGCGTTTGGCCCCGGGGAGTAGTAGCTCCCCCACGTATGGAGAAAGTGAAGTCCTACAGGACCTTCCACCGCAGTCAGGGAAAATTCTGTTCTCGATGTGCCTTCTTCTTCTCCCGAACACAGAGGGAAGCCAAGCTCCCCCGCCGCCTTGCAGCAAGCCAGGGTTGTAAACAGTGTTTGCAGTGTCAGCTCCTAGGGCAGCTACTCCAAACGTGGGGAGCACGTAGCCTCTGCGGTCTTGCCATCAGCTTGGCAGCCATCAGGATTTCTTTTTCCATCCTTTTGCACGTCTTTTCTTTTGATCATATATGAGGTTTTTACAACCACTGCTATTTTTCGGAGCTGGGGCTGGCGGTGAATGAGTAACATGATGTCAGAACCGCTCACACGTCCTATTTTTAACTTGCGCTTAGCTTAGAAGTGAATTTTAAAACTTGCCAGCTCAGTCCTTAATAGTCTTTTTTTTTTAAAAGAAGTTAACTGTCAATATACGAAGTACAATATGTCAAATGTTACTATACAGTTCTCAAGAACATATGTAGTTAAAGTTTTTCAAAAGTTTGTGATACTTTCTGCCTGTTTAAACAGTTTTTCAGTGGTGTTTATGAGAAACTTTTTGGACGAACTTGAATAATTTCCAATTGTTTTGATTGGAAAAAATGCACTACCAATAAATACAGTTCTCTAATACTCAGAAAAGTTTCTAAGTGAAATTTAAATATAATTAGGATTAAAAATTAATGGCTAACTTGTAAAGATGGATAGTTTTGTATCTGAAATATACAATAATTAGGGTATTTAGAAAGATTAGAAAGCATGTATTATACAACCTAAAATATGCTATTCTGTAAGTAAGAAAACACTGTCAAGAAAGCAAAATTGTGACACAATATTATCTTTTCCCTTGTCAGTTGAAAATCCAGCATGAATTAATTTAGGTCACTGTCATGCAATTTGATGACAAAATCCAGAGGATTAGAATTACCCCTTCTCCTCTGCCTCCTTCCTTCCCTGCCTGGTACCACCCCCCTCCCCGCACCCCTAACCTCTATGCCCTATCTTTTTTAAAGTATTGCCAGACATATGTTTTAACAGAGTTGAGGAGTTAAGCGCAGAAATAAGCATGCTAGCAGAAATAAGCATGCTATCGTCTTAACAATGGAACAGTGGCCTGTTTTCACTGTATTTATATTTAACAATCACTGTCATACTAATATATACACTCTTACTAATACATAAGCAGATTTACTGTAATGACAAGCAATCTGTGAAATTTTGTGTTTCAGGCAAGGCATCTTTATATTTGCGATTATCATAAAAACTTAATTCAGAGTGTTCGAAACAGAAGAAAGAGAAAAGGGAGTGATGATGACGGAGGTGATTCACCTGTCCAAGATATTGATACTCCAGAGGTAGATGAAAATTTTTGTATGTTAAATGTAAATCCTAAGTAGTCCATTCTGAAACTTTTATAGAAAGATATGAACAAATTTTTAAATGTTTAAATCACTTGTCAAATCTGAAAATGAAAGCAAAATTAGATAAAATCAGTATATATATATATATACAGTTACACAATTGAATGGCTGTATTTTAAATTGGCAATTCTTACAGCTATGTTGTCATATAACTTCCTCTTTTTTGTCCCCAAACATTATAATATTTATTGCCCAAAGATTAAAGTGTTTAATAATTTATAATTTTGATAATGTGAAAGACTTTTGACAATGACATTAAATTTTTATTGTGCTGAAGATGAAATGCTTGTTACTGTACATACTAATGTATTGTGCTGAAGATAAAATGTTTGTTATTGGGGACAAGCAGTTAGCGTAATGGCTATGTCGCTGGATTCCCACGTAGGCGACCGCGGACCGGTGGCTTAGAACTCATGCCAGGCGCGTGTGCGTGCGTGCGCAAGATCCCGAGAGGAGAATGGAGGAGAAGGGATTACGGCATGACCATCCCCCTGGGGGGGTGATTTCTCGCTTTCTGTCTCTATGTCTCTCTTTGTCTGCGAGCGCACGTGCTCTATAGCGAAAACCTCTCAAAAAAAAAAAAATGTTGGGAACCAGCAGTTAGCGTAATGGCTATGTTGCTGGACTTCCACATAATCGACTGCGGTTCGCGTCCCGGATCC